CTAGATTCCCACCTGGTCTCACAAACTTGCTTCAGGGTTAGTGCTTTAACATGTTTCTAATTATGCACCATTGCTTGGTTTGTGCAAAAAAAAAGGATGCAGATTGTTTGAAAGATTCCAAACAGCATTCTAGACCCTCATTAATGTTCTAGCTAAATATGATTTCAATAAGTTCAACTGTGGCAACCACACAGTGTAAATGAGGCTAGTGGGTATTTTACTTAATTTCGAGCTTGAATACCTTTTAAAAATAAAGTTATTTTATTCCTGTTGTCATAGCCTTAACTTCTACAGTTGCTTAGGTCTTGGAGAGGTTTAGTCTTTATGAATAAGGTCAGGAGTGCAACCCATAATAACGGAAAAATACTTTTCAAACTTTATATTATTAGCTTATTTTACATGCAAATCTAAGAGATTAATCACCTCATTTTGAATGTTGACACTTAGCATTTGTAAGAGTATTTCACCACCTTCGACTCTCTTAAGAATGCTTCATCACGCATCTGCTTCAATGTTAACATACTGGATTAGACTTTCATTGACATCTTGTTCAATATTTGGCCTGATTGTTGCCTCAACCCATTTCTTAGAACAATTGAAATGAGGTGGAAATGTCTCATGCATATTTTTTCGCTCTATGAACTTTTTCCAGTTGTTAAAACATTCTTTTTTCCAAAAATAATTTTGAAGTTATGGCAAACCAACTACAAGGAAAATAATAAGCTGAATCAGATTCTAGATAATATATAAACAGTCTTTTTTTACTATTTCAACGTTTCTTGCTACCCTGTATTAAAATTCATTTAAGAAATGGCGTTTATTTATTTTAAGATATTCCTTATTGCTTTTAAGGAAAGGTATTGGATTCATTTTGATGATGCAGTCTCTCTCTCTTACTATCAGTTTTTCCGGCGAGGTGGACGGGTCATTAGATAAAAATCTACAAATGCCACTTCTGTACAAAACATTTATTGTGATTGTTATACTATCATCTGTTTCAACTATAATAGGTTTTAAGTTAAATTCAAGCTCTTAGTATTTCTTAAATTCTTTCGTTTTATCACGTAAATGTATGATTAACAAGGTTGTGAAGAACTTGATTTATGAAAAAAATGTGTTAGCTATGGAGCTTTAGACTTTAACATAGCTTCATGGGCTGCTTCAGAGCTCGGCTAATGTTGTTCTTTGGGTACCTGAAAGTTTTTTTTTGACAACTATATTATTGTTGTTAAACGGTAACAATAACATTCAAATTCAATAAGACAAAACTTTAATGTAAGATTTTCAACTCATTATAAAGGACACTAAAGATTACAGTTTGCAACTCTTTTTCTTACAAAGTTTTTATTAAATACTGATTTTGTGGTTTTTTATTTTGTTGTCCGCACAAAACAAACTTGAGTTCAGCGTTAATAAAAGAAATAATTAAAAAAAGTAATTAAAACAAACGCAAAACAAACTTTAATTTAGTTTAAATTAAAAAAATCGTCAAAAATATATAAAAAAACTTTTTTAAACAACATTTTTTTAATGAATAAAAAAGAAGTATATAGTATATTTAATAAAATATATTAAAAATAACACTTATAAAATGGACTAAAAATTCAAAAAAAAATTTATAAAAAACTTTTCAAAAAGACATTTTTTAAATGGATTAAAATTTAAACTTTTCTCGGGGTGTTTGTGTCTAAACACAACCTGAAATATCCGTTAAAGCCAATAACTGAAAATGTTGGACGCTCAAATTTTGAAATGGTGAGGATATTTTTGAAGTTATGAAATTAGATTTAAATTAGATTAAAATTAAAAATTGCAATTAGATTTCAATTGATCCGATAAGAACACAACAAATTTTGTCAACGACTTAAATAATGGATACATCAAGTTGTACAAACACAAAGTCCTTGGGACCCGAGAATAAGTTTATTTTTTACTCTTTAGACCGCTTAAAAAATGTTGTTTTTGTAAAAAAAAAATATAAATATATTTTTTTCAGATTTGAGTACGATATTACTGCATTACCAGGCAAAATGCAGAGCGATCAAGAATTTCTATAGTGGAAATTGTATACTGGTAAAACGTCAGGTCTGACAAAAGGGAATGAGCCTAAATGTACAGCATAACTATGTGGGGAGACTTAGAAGAATCGAACAAAATGTGATCTTTTTGTTTATTTATACATGTGGTTATTTTTGGCTTTCTAATCCTTGACATGCAGATTCGTTTGATTGATGACGCTTTGTTAATATATGGAATAATAAAAATAATACATACAATTTTAGGTTTTATTTGATACAAAAACAAAAACTGGAATGTTTGGAGTCATTAAAATAAATAAAATTACGATAGCCAAAAAAAAAAAAACACCCTAAATCATTAAAAGCGGAAATCAATCTGATTTTTCGGTATTTATATTTTATAACTTGATTTTTAGAGTAATGAAAGAACAATGTTTTAGACTATTTTTAGACTAATGCTTATAAAGCTGTATATGTTTACAGTTCAGACATTTATTTATCCTAAGCACTTTTAGTTTTCTCGTTTACAACTAAATTTAAATATAGATTTTTGTCAACCATATAATTAGTAATTTATTTGTGGAATTTGTAATAGTATTTAATACACTAATCTTTTATATTATACTCTATTATAAAAAAAGTTTTTTAAAAAAATGTTAATGTTAACACAATTATATTTTTTTTTTAAATAAATGTTTATTTTAACACAATGCGCTTATGACTAATCTTTAGAATAAGAATTAAGTGGAGCTTAAGCAATAAACAATTACTCATCACTTTTTTTAATATTATTTAGCATTGTCGATCTTTTTCAAAATATAAAAACATTCACTTTTAACGTTTCCAGATAGTTAAAGATTTTAAATATTTAACAATGCATCAAGAAATAGATCCAAATGTTCTGAGAACAGAGTCAAAAAACTTAAACAATTTGTTTTATGAAAAAGGAATAGAATGTGAACATGAGTCAATCACGCCAGCAACTAACAAAGGAATTTTAACAGAGGAAAGTAAAAAAGAATTTTTTGACAAAGTCATAAAAAAGTTAAACAAATTAAAAGAACTAAACAACGAAGAAAAAAATTTTTATAGTAATGTCCAAGGAGGTTTCGAAAGCAATGATTCTTTTGCCAAATTTTTAGAAGATCAAGTAGAAGAACTGCATGAGTTAGTATCTGATAAAATATTTATTCAAAAATATCAGTATGAAGAGAGTAAATCAAGTGAAGTGATAAGATTTGGAATTAATCATAGGAATAATAGTATACTAAATGAAATAAGTTCATATAATGATAAACTTAAAGATAGTCGTAAAGATAAAGATGCCATGTCTAATATCTCTGGATCCACAAATTACAAAATATTTCGAGAATTTATTGATGTCACTAAATCGGAATGCGTGGTCTTAAAACATGCAATTCGTTATTTAGAAACATCTTTAAACAATATTGCTTTGGTTGATATATTTAAAAGAGAACTCAAAGCCAGTAACGATGTACAAGTTGGTGGAATTAACTCAAATAAATTAGATTTGCATACAGTTGTTTTATACAAAACAGAAGACGAATTTAAAAAAAATATATTAGTTATTGACCCAAACAATCCTCTATTTAGTAGTTTTTTGAGTAACTTCAACGACGAATCCAACACAGTCAAAGTACTATGCGATAGCAACAAGAATTACAAAATTTATATTCATGAAGAAAGCAACAGTAAGACTAATACGACCGGACAAATCGAAGAGCAATATCGAGATTGTATTGACATTTCTGTTAAAATTAGTTTTGTGTTAAATAACTCTGGAAAAAAATACAAACATATTTTAGACATCATGCTTTCTCCAGAGATAAAATTAATAACTAATAATCCTGCGATCGACAAAATTTCTTTATCCGAATTGCCTTTGAAGTTAAAGCAGACATCGAACATCCAAAAAATTATAGAGTGTAACTTACGCCTTAAATTCTATAGCGACCAGTTACAAGCAAAAATAGATTATTTAACGGATAAACAGATTTTATATAAAGGTTTACAGTCGGTATATAAAGAAGAGCATCGAGAAAAGGTTTTTAGATTGGGAGAGGCATATAAAACATTTATTTGAACAACTAAATACATTTAAATTACTTTAAATGAAAACAACAATCAGATTAAACAATATATTCATGAATTGCGTTCTTAAACAACAAATTATTCTTTAAAATGTTTACTCTTTATTTAAGTTTAATACATTTAGTAAATGGAGTTTAACTTTTATATTTGATTATGTATATAATTGTATAAATATACCTTTGATTATAAGTTCAACCTTTCAGTTTATCAAAAGATAGATTTTCCATTTGTTTGTTTTTCTATTGTAAACAAAAATACATTGTAGCATTTTGTAGTTTTTAAATAAAATGTTTGTTGGCAGTTGTTTGTTTCCTAACTTTCAAGTTTTAAGGAGAATATATGTAGAATATATGTAGGACAAAAAAATATGATCGACCAATTCCTAGTCTACATAATATTAAGAAACACACACACATATATATATATATATATATATATATATATATATATATATATATATATATATATATATATATATATATATATATATATATATATATATATATATAACATATATATATATATATAACATATATATATATATATATATATATATATATATATATATATATATATATATATATATATAATATATATATAATATATATATATATATATATATATATATATATATATATATATATATATATATATATATATATATATATATATATATAATATATATATATATATATATATATATATATATATATATATATATATATATATATATATATATATATATATACATATACAAGGCCGGCGCGGTAGAGGGTGTAAAGGGGTGTTGGACCTGGACCCTTAGTCGGCAAACTGGACCGTTTTAGACTAGTTAGTCGGCAAATGTCGACCCTTTCGATATAAAAAAAAACTTTTTATTTATTATAAATAAAGACGTATCTTTAATAAAAATTTTAACTTAATAATATGGCTGTAACACTTCCAGAAATAAAGAAACTTTTAAAAGAAATGTTCAAAGAATTTAAAAAGGAAACGGAAGAAATGTTTCAAAAGCAAGAAAAAGCAGTTCTCGATATTATTGGGGCTAACATCAAAATAATAAACGATAGATTTGAAAAAGTAGAGAAAAATGTTGATGGAAATGCAAATTCCAAAATTAACAAAAGAATTAGAAGATATAAAGGTAAGCCTTAATTTTAATGAAGGACTTATTGACGAAAAAATAGTTACTAACAACAAATATCTAGATAAAAAAATGGAACATACAAAAATAGATAATGTATTAAAAGAAAAACAACGAAACTTAGAAGATCGATCGCGCCGAAACAATCTTAGGATTGAAGGAATTTACGAGAATGATAAAGAATCATGGGGGGATACAGAAAAAAAAGTCCAAACATTCTTCACCTAAAAACTTGGACTAAAAGATGTTGAAATTGAAAGAGCTCACCGCACTGGACGAAAAAACGATGGACGACCAAGGACTATAATATTAAATCTTCAGAAATATAAAGACAAAATAAGAATATTGAAGGAATTGTATTGACTCAAAGGCACAAATACGTTCGTGAACGAAGATTTTTCTCGAGAAACCGTCGCTATTCGAAAAAAATTGTTCGCTGAAGTGAAAGAAAGGCGATTGAATGGTGAAAGTGTTACGGTAAGGTATGACAAAATTGTTTATATTAAAACTTCTTTTAAAAACAATTTTAACGAATAATTTTATGGGCATTCCTAAAAAGAAATCTTAAATAAAATATATTAATCATGGCTACAAATGAAAACTTTGAATCTCGTGTTTTTAAAATTCAAAAAACAAATTACTCTACGTTAAATGAAAATTTAGACTCTGATTACAATATTTATCACAATAAATTTTCAGATTGTTCATATTACTTTCCTAGCCAACTAGAAGGGTTTCTTTTTAAGAATGAGAATGAAAGAAATAATAATCAAATGTTAATTCTCCACCTCAATATAAGAAGCTTAAATAGCAATTTTGAAAAACTTTTAGACTTATTAGAAGAAACTAAACATGTTTTTAATATAATTTGTTTAACAGAAACTTGGATTTCTTTAGAAGACCTAAATAATTTTCATCTACCTCATTTTAATACATTTTTAATGGAAAGGAAAACAAATAAGCGCGGTGGTGGAGTTTTAATTTATGTTCACGAAAATTTTGAGCATTGTATTAGGCTTGATTTTAGCGTTTCTGACTGCGATAAAGAAATTGCAACTATAGAAATTACTAACTGCAACAAAAAAAAAATTTTACTAAGCTGTTGTTATCGGCCACCTGATGGCGTAAGCGAAAACTTTAGCATGTTTTTATAACAAATTATTAAAAAAGGTACCGTAGAAAAAAAACAAAATTTTATAATTGGAGATTTAAACATGAATTGTTTTCTTTATAATGATAACCTTAAAGTTAAAAATTTTTATGATGAAATTTTTGAAACGGGATCAGTATCTTTAATAAACAAACCTACAAGAGTAACGACAAATTCAGCAACTCTAATAGATAATATAATAACTTCAGATATTTTCAACAATGATTTAAAAGTAGGTATTTTGCGAACCGATATATCAGATCATTTCCCTATATTCCTAAAAATAGATAATACAAACTCTGAAAAAACTTTAACCGCACAAAGAGTAATTAGAAAACGCATTTATAATGAGGCTAACCTTAATTTATTCAAAAATCAACTTTCATTACTACACTGGAATAACATAAATTTTAATGATAATACTAACAATATCTATGAGTCTTTTTTCAAAACATTTTTTTCTGTATACGATGCTAACTTCCCAATCATTGAAAATAAAATAACTACTAAGAGCTTAAATACACCCTGGATCACTAAGGGCTTTAAAAAATCGTCCAAAATTAAGCAAAAACTATATATAAATTTTTTTGAAAACAAAAACACCTAAAAACCAAAAAATTTACAAGGACTACAAAAACCTATTTGAAAAAATTCGCAAAAATCTAAAAAAAAATTATTACTCCCAATTACTCAATACATTTAAAAATGACACAAAACGCACATGGCAAATAATGAATGAAATTATTGGAAAACAAAAATCATGCTCAGGTTTTCTGCCACAAATGGTTAGAGTCGATAACAAAAGTTTATACGAACCAAGAACTATAGCTCAAGAATTTAACAAATTTTTTATCGATATAGGTCCAACACTTTCTAAAAAAATCCCAAACACCAAATCTTTATTTACTGATTTTCTATTACTCATTGATAATTGCATTGGTTCAGTTGAGTTGTCTTCTGAATTGTTGTTTGAAGAGTTTGAAAGAGCCTTCAAATCTTTAAAAAAAAATAAAGCAGTTGGAGCGGATCAAATAAATGGAAACGTTATTATAGATTGTTTTGAACAGCTAAAAGTTGTTCTTTTTAAAGTTTTTAAAGCTTCTATCCATCAAGGTGTTTTCCCCGAACTGTTAAAAATTGCCAAAATTATTCCTATTTTTAAAGAAGGGGACAAATCAATTATAAGTAATTATCGCCCTATTTCTGTTCTTTCCTCCTTTTCAAAAATTTTAGAAAGAATTATATATAACAGAGTATACAAATATTTTCATGTTAATAAATTACTTAACATTAATCAATTCGGTTTTAAAAAGGATAGCTCAACTGAACATGCAATTATCCAATTTGTACGGGAAATCTCAAAATCATTTGAAAAATCACAATATACTCTAGGACTTTTTATTGATCTATCAAGAGCTTTTGATACGGTTGATCACCAAATTCTAATCTATAAACTTAAACACTATGGAATAAAAAATAAAGTTTTAAAATGGTTTGAAAGCTATTTGTCAAATCGTAAACAATTTGTTCCGAGTAATGACGGTTATCATACCAATTGTCTTTCTTTAACATGTGGAGTCCCACAAGGCTCAATTCTTGGTCCACTCCTTTTCCTAATTTATATTAATGATTTAAATAAAGCCTCTAAACTAACAAGTATTATGTTTGCAGATGATACTAACTTATTTCTTTCTAACAGTGATATCTTTGAACTTTTTAAAACAATGAACAAAGAGCTTATACATGTATCGAGTTGGTTTAAATGTAATAAGTTAACTCTAAATTCTAATAAAACAAAGTGGACCTTATTCCATTCGCTTTCCAAAAAACGATATTTGCCATTAAACTTACCTAAAATTTTTATTGATCAAAATGAAATAAAAAGGGATTCCGTAACAAAATTTTTAGGTGTTTACCTTGATGAAAACATCACTTGGAATCATCATATCGACTACATAAGCACTAAAATTTCAAAAAACATAGGAGTTTTATATAAAGCACGAATCTACCTTAAATAAGAAAATTTTAATCAAACTTTATTATTCATTTATACACAGTTATTTAAATTATGCTAATATCGCCTGGGGTAGTACAGAAAAAAGTAAGTTGCAACGTCTTTATCGCCGTCAGAAACATGCTATCCGTTTAATCTGCTTTGCAAATCGCTTTTCTCACGCAAAACATTATTTTATTGAAATGAGAATTTTAAATATATACGAGCTAAATATATATAATGTTTTATGCTTTGTATACATGTGGAAAAATGACTTGTCTCAATCTGTCTTCAAAGATATTTTTACTCCGAAACCCATCAACAAATACAATTTGAGAAATACTGATTTTTTAAATGAACCTTTCTGTCAAACGAACTTTAATCAATTTTGTATTGTCTATCGGGCACCACACCTTTGGAATAAAATTGTTTTGCCCAATTTTGATTTCGAACTACCCATTACTTTTCGTTTTTTTAAAAGTAAATTAAAAACCCTAATTTTTTCATTAGAAGACGTATTATGTTATTATTAATAATATAAATTAATAACTTTGCCTTTTCTTATTTATATTTGTAAAAAGTTTATTCTTACTTATTTTGCTGATTTTATATTCTTTACTTCACGTATACGTTTATATAAAATATTAGTGAGTAGATCCGCGTGATCTCTCTTTGGATTATAAAATATATATTTGGATTATATATATATGAAATTTGTAAAAATTTGATACTGTTAATGCTTGTTTGAACTTATTTAAGGTTCTGACGACAAGATCCTTTGATCTTCTTTCAGATACCTTATTTTATATTTGTGAAAGTTAATTATTATCATCGTTATTTTTATTTTATTTTTTTTGGCAATATATAGTTGTAATACGACCAACAAATGTAAAATTAAAAAAAAAAAAAAAAAAAAAAAAAAAAAAAAAAGTTAGACAGTCGGTAAATGTCGTCATGACAGTCGGCAAATTTTGGAAAACAAGGACTTTTTTTTTTTTAGTAGGCAAAAGTTGTAATGGCACCCCCCTTCCCCCACGTGACACCTGCTCGCGCCGACCCTATATTTATACATATATATATAAATATATATATATATATATATATATATATATATATATATATATATATATATATATATATATATATATATATTTCTACATAAATATATATATATATGTATATATGCATATATATATATATATATTTGATTATATATATATATATATATATATATATATATATATATATATATATATATATATATATATATATATACATATATATATTTATATATATATATATATATATATATATATATATATATATATATATATATATATATATATATATATATATATATATATATATATATATAGATGAATTTCAAAGTGACGTCGCGCGTTTACATTTTTTCGGACGCAAAGGACACTGGCAGGATAGAAAGAAAACACGCAAAAGAAAATGTGGAGTGAATCTGATTACTTTTTAACATTAGAAGAAAACAATAAAGATGCATATAAAAAAAATTAACTTTGTCAAATGGAATGTTACTCCCTGACCCTTTCGTACTTGAAAATTGGAAAAACGACGTTTCAATGATGCCCGACATTACATGGGGTGACATGTACAATTACCTTATTAACTCCCCAAGTAACTTTACACACGATTCAATGAAAGCCTATAAATCATTGGAATCGTACAACTTTTACATTTGTGGGCATGTTTAAGATGTATACTATAATTTAATTGAAGAAACGAATGAATTTTGTTTCATTAAATCTGAGGTAATTTTGCATATTACAAAGTAAAGTTCACAGTCAAAGTGCAAAAAAAAAGTGTTTGAAAAGTTAAAACCATAAAATTTATTTTGAGTAAAATGTAAAATGATATACGTTTTTACTTATTTATTCAACTTTTAATTTATTAAAGGTGCTTCCAAGTCAAAGACAAGGAAAGAAGCAGAAATGTTACGAAGTGTGGGTTGCAATAAATAAAGTTAATGGGTGGATTTTAACGGCAAATTGCAAATGCATGGCAGGGTATGTACATTAATTAAATAATTTAATTTTAATTTTATTTTAAACAAGTATTTTAAGAAATTTAATTGGTTATACATTTTTGAAACTATAGATTGGGCTCTGTGTGTAGTCACATCGGTGCATTGTTGTTTAAGCTTGTTGCGTGTGCACAGTTCGGTTTAAATAAAATATCTTGCACAAGCACATTCTGCAGTTGGAAAAAATCACGCCAATCAGCAACCCCAGCCCCACTAAAAAAAATAAACTTTGCGCGACCAAAGAAGCGTGAAACTCTTCCAAATATTAGTGACAATGAAAACTCACAGGATGAAAGACCTTACAGCTTTAGGGATCCTACACCAACTTCAGATAGTAAAAAAAAAAAGTTGCTAGAACTAAAAAAATTGTATAAGAATGCTTTTCTTCAGTCTGTAGACATTAAAAATGAAAGCAAAGAACATTGTAGTGATACCGATACTGCGGAGGAGGATGACAGTTACAATGAATATAATTTGCCGGAACCACTTACTTCACTATATTTGCCTGCATCAATTAATTTAGATGATTCCACCTTAACAAAATATTGCACAGAATCATACGAGGAGTACAAAATCACTCAAAGTGTTAACATGTACAGCAATTTACTTAAAGTTACAAATATTCAAAGCGCTAGTAGAATCTGGAAGTTGCACAGGGCAGGTAGAATAACAGCATCGTTATCAAAAACTGCGTACAACATAAAAGTTGATAAATACCCTAAGTCGTTTATAAACACAGTGATGCAATACAACGCAGAATTCATTACAAAACCTACGAGTTATGGTAAGAAAATGGAGACTGTAGCAATAAATTCTTACAAGCAATTTGTCGCAAAAACACATACAAATATAGTTGTTACAGAAACTGGATTGCATGTTCTTCACAAAAATCCATGTCTTGGTGCTTCACCTGATAGTATGGTGTGTTGTGATTGTCATGGTTCCGGTGTTGTGGAAATTAAGTGCCCATATAAGTATAGAAATGGGTTAGAAAATTGGAAAACAGATACGGATTTTCCTGTAAATTTTGACAATACAGTAAAGAAAACACACCAGTATTACTTTCAAGTGCAGCAAGAAATATATATTACTAATACTACATACTGCCATTTTTACATTTGGACCGAAGGAAAAAATGAAAATGATACAATGTTAATTAATGTTCCGATTGATAGGGTCTTTTGTGAAAAACTGGAAACAAAGTTGACAACAATATTTTTTAAATTTTTACTACCTGAAATAGTGTCTAGAAAAAATGATCCTAACAACCTTTTGAGCGATCAAACATACTGCATTTGCAAACGTCCAAGTTTTACATCAATGATTGGATGCGACGGAAAAAACTGCAAAATAGGATGGTTTCATTACAGTTGTATTGAAATAAAAAATGGCCCTAAAGGTAAATGGTTCTGCAAGGAATGCATATAAATAAACTAAAGGATATATTATATTTATTAAATATCTTACTTTGTCAACGACATTTTGGCACTTTTTTCAGAAATAAAAAATCAATAAACTGTTAACAATTATTTAGTAATATAAAATTTACTACTCTCGAGTCTTTATTAGAAGGGTAGGGGGGATTTCTATTAAATTTTTGAAAACTTTCCCACCTACCTTAAGCTTATTAAGACCACTCTGTTTATTAATTTTCACTTGTTATCAACAAAAAGTTTCTAAAACTATCGAAACTAAAAAAAATAATTCAGTGAAAATCGGCCTTATAATATTATACAAAATATATACTAGTAACTAATAAATAATAAAACTTTTAGTATAAATTCTCACCCCCTACTTTCATTAGATCTTGACAAACCACCCCCTTCCCCTTGTATTAAGGACTCGAGAGTACTTGAGACAATCCAAATGTAAGATAATACAAAATAAAGTTAAAATAAAAAGGTTTTTTACTCCTATGAGCTTAGAGGAACAACACTACTGTTAATATTTACTAATGAAGTTATTGTTACCATAACATCATCAAGTAAATCAACTTGAGTTAATGGGATAATGTTCTGAAGAATTCGAAATTTTCTTAACTGTCCAATTACCCTTTCAACATGGATTCTTACATGTGCAATTTGACGTGATTCATCAACTTCAGCAGAAGACATCTGCTTTTTTCCTTTGGTAAACTTTGGTAATTTTAAAATCCCACCTTTTGTAGCAAATTCTTCAACAAGTGTAAATCCTCTATCAGCAAGTACACAATCTCCATGGGTTATTTTTTCTAAAAATCCAGATTTAATTGTAATTTCTTTATCTGAAACTCTACCACCCCATCCACGGGATAAAAAACTTACAGCACCTGATGGAGTTATACCAATGAGATATTTAATTGTGTTGTTGTTTTTATAATTTGACCAAGTTTGAGCTCGAGCATGAAGACTAAAAGGTCTTTCAATGAGTATTTCCATGCAATCAATTATTGCAACACAATTATAGAACTTTTTGCGAAAACTTGTTGGCAAATTTCTTCGCAAAACATGCTTTTCTGGCCAAACAATTAAAAACTTAACATTTTCAGCAATAATTGGAAGCCAAGATCTATATATTCTAGTGACTGTTGGCTCAGAAAAACCAAATCTAAAGCTCAAGTCTTTATTTAAAAATCCAAGTTTGATTTTTATTAATATTAGCAATAAATGGTCTTCCATTGGTATATTTTTCATTGGTTTTACACAATCTTTAAACAATGATAAATACCACAAAAATAAATTTGCATTTGGCAAACCAGTATAAAAAGATAAAAGTGAATTATCATCTTTTAGTTTTTCAAACGAAATATATTGAGAAACAGATGATGTTATAGCTTTGTTTATTGTAATCTTTAATTCAACATTATTTTTACTCAAAGTTTTGACTTTAGAATGTAGCTCAGCAACAAAATTAACATCATCAGTCTGAGATTCTAAAAACATAATTATGTAACCATTTATTTTATCAAAGAACGAAAGTAAAATCTTAAAATTAAATTAAAACTTATTTACCTTGATTCAATTTGAAAGGGTCGACTGATGTTACTGCATCCATATTAACTGACATCTGTTCATTTTCAGCTTTTGTTTGAGATAAATTATCTTCAGTATTTTTTTTTGTTCTTTTACAACTTCTTTCAAATCTTTCAATACTTTGATGTTTTTTTGAAAAAGATTGCTGTCTGTATAAAAAAACAGATGGAACATAGTCAGGACTAATAGGATTGTCTGATTTTTTGCCTAAAAATAGAGAAGAAAAAAAATTAAAACCTTATTTATTTTATTAAAATAATGAACTTATGTTAAACTAAATAAAAACAAAGATAATAATAATATTATAAAAACTTCTAGTTATCAAAAGAAAAAAAAAATTAAATACCTGAAATAAAATGTTTACTACATAATCTTGCGTTATCAATCATACTTATTGGCCAGTTTTTACGTTTAAAGGCTTGCAACCATAAAACTCTTCTGTTTTTTGATGTTTCTGTATTTCCAAAAGGAATGCGGTAAAAACTCAAGTTTTTATCGCCTTTTATCCTTTTATTCATACACCCTATAGCACAACAACTGTCAGGCATTATATTTTAAGAATTTAAAAAAAACTTTAATCTAATTAAGTTAGCAAGCAGATTAATTATATCAATGTTTGTTTAATAAACGTTCTCAATGTTTGCAAATCGGTTTTTATTCCTGCCACCTAGTGCGCATGCGACGGAAATGTAAACATTGAAATTCATCTATATATATACATATATATTCAAAGATTTGTAATATCTTTGCTGTAGAAATAAGTAAATAAATAAATAAATTGTATATATTTTGTTGTTCCTGTGCTGTTTCAGTCAATTTGATGGTTTTTCCAGCATGGGTTGTATATATAATTATTAAGATTATTACTTATGTTAACACCTTGTTACTGTGTTGTTTCATTTAATTTGATGATTTTTTCATTGTGGGTTGTATATATAATTATTTATATATACATAATTTATACATTATTATAATGTTTACATGATACATACATATTCATTATATATATATATATATATATATATATATATATATATATATATATATATATATATATATATATATATATATATATATATATATACATATATATATATATATATTAGGGTGCATCACAAAACAACAATTTAACAATTTTGATTTTTTCTGACACCTTATTGTGTTGTGTAGAATAATAAGTATTTTGTAAAAAAAACATTACTTTTGATTTTTCTGACAAAATAACAAAAACATTTGCACTTTTTTTCTTATTTGACATATCATATGGCAGAAAAATCTGAAGAAACATTTTTTTTATAAAATACTTATTATTTTAAAATTTTTATAAAATTTCGCTTCATTTAAGACCAAACATGACCTACTTTAAAAGAACTATTTTTTTGAAAATATTAGGGATACATTAAATACTCAAGGGTGTTAGGACCTCTAAAAATATTTTTAGTACCAAAATATTTGAAATACAGTGTTTTTTTAATCTACACAACACAATAAAGTGTCAGACAAAATCAAAATTGTTAAATTGTTGTTTTGTGATGCACCCTAATATATATATATATATATATATATTTATATATATATATATATATATATATATATATATATATATATATATATATATATATATATATATATATATATATATATATATATATATATATATATATATATATATATGTATGTGTGTGTGTGTTTGTGCATGTGGGGGTGTATTGATAAATGTTGTATACTATTGGAAATACATCCCTAAAAGGGAAAAAAAAAGGATTTTACTATCGCTTCAATTCCGCTGAGTATCAGATATTTGATGTTAGATGCTGTTGTAACGCTAAACTTATCTTTTTTATTATGCTTTTATCTTTTTTAATAATATGACTAATGATTGTCAAAAAAATCATAAAACTTTAAGTTCCATTATAAAGATGTATTTCTGCATTTAAATTATTATTTGATATATATATATATATATATATATATATATATATATATATATAATATATATATATATATATATATATATATATATATATATATATGTATATATATATATAAATTATTATTTTATATATATATATATATATATATATATATATATA